ACCTTCTTTCTTTCACATGTGGATATCCAGTATTCCCAGCATCATTTGTTAAGACTGCCCTTTCCGAGGAGTGTTCATTTGGCACCCTTGTTAAAAATCATTTGGACATATATGTGATAGTTTATTTTCATGTTTTCTATTTTATTCGATTTTTCTGTATGTCTTTTTGAAAGGACCATGCTGATTATTGATTATTATAGCTTTTTAATAAGTTTTGAAATCAGAAGTATGAGTCTTCCAGCTTTGTTCTTCCTTTTCAAAATCATTCTGGCTATTCAGGTTCTCTTGAGGTCCTGTATGAATTCTTTTTTTCAAATTTGTTTTAATTAGTTACACATGACAGTACAATGACCTTGACATATCATACATTTGAATCAGATGAGATATAATTTCTCATTTTTTCTGAGTGTACAGGTTGCAGAATCACATTGGTCATGCAGTCACATATATACACACAGCAATAATAATGTCTATTTCATTCTACTGTCTTTCCTATCGCCCCTTCCCCTCCCCTCCCCTCCCATCACTTCTCTCTACCCAATCTAATGTGACACACTTCTTTTTTTTTTTCTTTTTCTTCACATCGTCAAACATGTATTCTGTATAATGATGAGGGTCTCCTTCCATCTTCCGTGCAATTCCCCTTCTCCCACCCTTTCCCTCCCACCTCTCTTCCCTATTTAGTGATAATCTTCTTCTCATGCTCTTCCTCCCTACCCCATTTTGAGTCACACCCCCCCCCCCTTATATCAGGAAGACATTTGGCATTTGCTTTTTAGGGATTGGCAAACTTCACTTAGCATAATCTGCTCTAATGCTATCCGTTTCCCTGCAAATGCCATGATCTTGTTATTTTTTAGTGTTGAGTAATATTCCATTGAGTATATATGACACATTTTTTTAATCCATTTATCCATTGATCAGCATCTAGGTTGGTTCCACAGTCTAGCTATTGTGAATTGTGCTGCTATAAACATTGATGTGGCTATGTCCCTGTAGTATGCTGTTTTTAGGTCTTTTGGGTATAGTCTGAGAAGAGGAATAGCTGGGTCAAATGGTGGTTCCATTCCCAGATTTCCAAGGAATCTCCATATTGCTTTCCAAATTGGCCGCACCATTTTGCAGTCCCACCAGCAATGTATGAGTGTACCTTTTTCCCTGCATCCTCGCCAGCACTTGTTGTTGTTTGACTTCATAATGGCTGCCATTCTTACTGGAGTGAGATGGTATCTTGGCCATATTACCAAAAGCACTTTACAAATTCAATGCGATTCCAATCAAAATCTCAATGACGTTCCTCCCAGAAATAGAAAAAAGCAATTATGAAATTCATCTGGAAAAATAAGAGACCCAGAATAGCTAAAGCAATTCTAAGCAGGAAGAGTGAAACAGGTGGTATCACTATACCAGATTTTAAACTATACTACAGAGCAATAGTAACAAAAACAGCATGGTACTGACACCAAAACAGGCGGGTAGACCAATGGTACAGAATAGAGGACACAGAGACCAACCCACGAAATGACAACTACCTTATATTAGACAAAGGTGCTAAAAACATGCAATGGAGAAAGGATAGCATCTTCAACAAATGGTGCTGGGAAAACTGGAAATCCATATGCAACAAAATGAAATTGAATCCCTTTCTCTCACCTTGCACAAAAGTTAACTCAAAATGGATCAAGGAGCTAGGAATCAAACCAGAGACTCTGCGTCTAATAGAAGAAAAAGTTGGCCCTAATCTCCATCACATGGGGGCAGGCCCCAAATTCCTTAATAAGACACCTAAAGCACAAGAGTTAAAATCAAGAATCAACAAATGGGACGAATTCAAACTAAAAAGTTTTTTTCTCAGCAAGAGAAACAATAAGAGAGGTAAATAGGGAGCCTACATCCTGGGAACAAATATTTACCCCTCACACTTCAGATAGAGCTCTAATCTCCAGAGTATACAAAGAACTCAAAAAGTTAAACAACAAAAAAGCAAATAACCCAATCAACAAATGGGCCAAGGACCTAAACAGAAACTTCTCAGAAGAGGATATACAATCAATCAACAAGTACATGAAAAAATGCTCACCATCTCTAGCAGTCAGAGAAATGCAAATTAAAACTGTATGAATTCTAGGATGGGTTTTTCTATTTTTGCAGAAAATAGCACTGGGCAGAGCTCTACCACTGAGTCACCTACCCAGCCCATGCCATATGGAATTTTGAGAAATATTGCATTGAATCTTGAGGTCACTTTAGATAGAATTGACATCTTAATAATATTAAGTTTTGTAATACATGGACATGAGATATGTTTCTATTAATTTGCATCTTCTTCAATTTCTTTCATAAATGTTTTATAGTTTTTATTATACAAACCTTTGACCTAGTTTATTAAGTTAATTCCTAAGTATTTTATTCATTCTGATGCTATTGTACATGGAACTGTTTTTGAAATTTCCTTTTCCTGAGGTTTATTGTTAGTTTATAGAAATATGACTGATTTTTGTGTGGTGACTTTGTATCCTGATACATAGTGGAATTAATTTATCAGTTCTAACAGTTTTTTTGATATCTCTAAGGTTTTCCACATGTAAGATCATGCCATCTTCAAAGGCATATTTTGCCTTTTCACAACAGGAAATTATTTATTTATTTATTTTGTTTCTAATTGCTCTGGTTAGAAATTCCAGGAATATGTTGAATAAAAGTGGCATCTTTGTCTTCTTCCTGGTCTTAGAAAAAGCTTTCAGTCTTTCACCAGCGAATGTAATATTTGCTTCAGTTTTTTCATATGTAGCTTTATTATTGTGAAGTACTTTCTTTGTATTCGTAGCTTGTTGAGTATTTTTATAATGAAAGTTTTTTGGGGGAGGTACTGGGTATTGAATCCACGGGTGCTCAACAGCTGAGCCATCTATCCAGGAGTTTTTATTTTTTATTTAGAGACAGGGTCTCACTAAGTTGCTTATGGGCTCGCTAAATTGCTGAGGCTGGCTTTGAACTCACAATCCTCCTGTCTCAGCCTCCTGACCCACTGGATTATAGGCATGTGCCACCGTGCCTGGCTTTTTCTTATTTTTCTATTCCTTCTTTCATTTGTGTCTGCTGTAATCTTCATCATTTTCTTCCTCTTCATAAGTCTGGATTCAGTTTGATAAAGTATTGTAACTATAGTCCTTAATTAATTATAATTCAATTTACCACTTTAGAAAATTTGGGAGGATTTTTTTTAATGAGTCTAACAAATTTTATTTTGGATCCTTTTTTGGTAGTTCTGGAGGTGGAACCCAGACTCTTGCTCATGCTGGGCAAGTGCTCCACCATTGACCTGCACTCCAACCATATTTTGGAATAATTTTTGATTTACACAAGAGTTGGAAAGATTGGACAGAACATTCCACCCAGTTTTGGGGGAATGACATTGATAGCCCTGGTTTTAGGAGTTCTCAGGAATGTTTGAAAATGTGTTTCATGGCTTCTTCTCTTTCCCTCTTCAGATTAGTCAAAGCTCTAGTTCCAGCTGCTTAGTGTCAGACCTCAGGGGAACAAGTAGGGCTGCTAAATCTTTTTCTCAGTACTTCTTTGGAAAAGCTATAAAAACAACAAAAACAATAAACAGATCATGTCAGAGAGCATAATTGAAGACAAACTTCTTAAATCCACTGGCAGAAATGCTGAGACTGAACTATTACTAAGTGAGATATAAATCCCAAGTTCAGGGAACCCCAAATCTCTGCATGAGAACAATTCAGAAATGCTAGTATTTAAGAATATGCTCAGCCAGGCACAGTGGTGCACACCTGTAATCCCAGCAGCTCAGGAGGCTGAGGCAGGAAGTTCATGAGTTCAAAGCCAGCCTCAGCAAAAGCAAGGTTCTAAGCAACTCAGTGAGACCCTGTCTCTAAATAAAATACAAAATAGGGCTGGGGATGTGGCTCAGTGGTTGAGTGCTCCTGAGTTCAGTCCCCAATAACAATAAAAAAAAGAATATACACTTCTTTATGTCAAGTACAATTGGCCCTCTTTTCTCAAAGGGTCCCGTATTTGTGGGTCAAACAACCATAAATTGAAAATATTTGAAAAAAATTGTGTCTCTGCTGAACATTTACAGACTCTCTTTCTTGTATTATTCCCTAAACAATAGAGTATAACAACTATCTATGTATCAGTTACATTGTATTAGGTATTATAAGTAATCCACAGATCATTTAAAGCAGAAGTAAGGATGTGCATAGGTTATAGGCAAATACTACTCCATTTTGTGTAAGGGACTTGAGCATCTAAAGATTTTTGGTTTCCACAGGTGGAACCAAATTCCCTTGGATACTAAGGGAGGACTGTAGTTAAGAACATGATGGAACCACGTTTTCCAGGTTGCAATCCCAGCTCTGCCATTTATTAACCATGGGCTATGGGACAAGTGACTAAACCTCCCTGTGCCTCAGTCATGTCATCTTTTTGGGAGGGAAGGGGTTAGTGGGATGTGAACTCAGGGGTACTGGACCAGTGAGCCACATCCCCAGTCCTATTTTGTATTTTATTTAGAGACAGGGTCTCACCAAGTTGCTTAGCACCTTGCTTTTGCTGAGTCTGGGAATACAGGAGTGCACCACCGTGCCCAGCAGTCATGTCATCTTTTTTTTAAAATTTTTTTTTAGTTGTAAATGGACACAATATCTTTATTTATTTTTATGTGGTGCTGAGGATCAAACCCAGTGCCTCACACATGCAAGGCAGGTACTCTACCACTGAGCTACAGCCCCAGCCCCCAGTCATGTCGTTTTTAACATTAAGCTAATAGAAGTCCCTATCTCAAAGGTTGTTATGAGGATTAAATGGATTAACTGTGTGTGCAGTGTTTCCAACAATGCCTAAGTCAGTAAATGCTAGATATTGTTAACTCAGCTGTTATTATTTTTGGCTTTTAGGAAGTGGGAGAACAGACCACATGAACCATTAAAAATACTGGTATTGATACATTTCTTTTATGTGCTTGATTTGAACAGAAACTCAGCCACCTGTGACGAATTTGAGTGTCTCTGTTGAAAACCTCTGCACAGTAATATGGACATGGAATCCTCCAGAGGGAGCCAGTCCAAATTGTAGTCTAAGGTATTTCAGTCATTTTGGTGACAAACAGGACAAGGTAAGTTTCCTGGAACATACTGCATTATTGAGGTAAAGTGAACACTATGTATTGGGAGCCAAGAATAAGTCAAATTCTAATCTTACTTCAAACTGGGAGCTTTATTTTGGGTTTTAGCCAAATTTCAAGAATTTTAACCAGCTATTGACAAAACTGAACTTTTAAAAACTATTTATGTTATTATTAAAATTTGTTTTTACCTGTCAACTTGCATCTATGTAACACTTTCAGTTTTTCCAGGAACTTTCATATTTACCATCTAGTACAGATAGATATGCAAGAACTTTGTGGTCTACAGTAGGTGGCCATATAGAAAGTGAAAATTTACGATGTCAAGTGTGTTTGAGCAGAAAGTTTCTTGATGTTTGAGGAAAAATGAAGAAAACTTTACACTTTTCTAGTCAAATGTAGTCAACTGATTTAAGTAAATTGGTATTAACATGGTTGGATAATTACAGGGTCTTTATGATAATCTTATTCAATTGTTACATCAATCTATATCTATAGCTATTTTAGTTGTAGATGGACACAATACCTTTATTTTATTTATTTATTTTTATGTGGTGCTGAGGATCGAACCCAATGCCTCACATGTGGAAGGCAAATAAATGCTCCACCACTGAGCTACAATCCCAGCCCTTCTTTATACCTTCTTTCAGTATGTATATGTTTGTAATGGGAAAAGGGTATTCGGGGTTATATTTGTCCAGGATTTTGAGGAGGCTGATATAGTGAGTTATGAAATCATTATTCTGAAGCAGCTTTGGTGGTGGGATGAGTCAAACTAAATTTAGTTGGCACACTACTCTTAACTGACTTAGCTGGTAAGTGATTTAACCTCTCTGAGCCTTAGTATCCTGTGTGTCAAAGGGGACCCCACTCACTTCCCTGGCTTGTTGGCTTGTAACAAATAATGTATGTGAAAGTTGAATAGTGATTGGAACAGGGAAGTTTCCAGAGGGAAATTTGCTTTCCTCTCCCTTCTCTGCTGAGGTGTTAATTATGGCTTAGGTATTAATTGAGGCTTGTCAGGAGTATTTATGTATGATTGATTAAGTGGAATGAACTCAGGGGTACTTTCACCAGCCCTTTTAATTTTATTTTGAGATACATGCAGCCATCTCACCTGGCTAGAAATATTGCTTTCTGCTTTTTTTTATATTGGATATTGAATCCAGAGGTACTTTACCACTGAGCCTTATCCTTAGCTGCCTACCCCACTTTTGAGTCAGGGTCTTGCTAAGTTGCTTAGAGCTTCACTAAATTGCTTAGAGCCTCACTAAGTTGCTTGAACTTGTGATCCTTGCCTCAGCTTCCTGTGTCATTGGGATTACAGGTGTGTGCCTGGCAGTATTTGCATTTTAGAAGAGGTCCTCTAATAGGCTTAAAGCCTGGTGATAATTCTAGTAGTGAAACTCAAGTTCCCATTGACTTCTTCTTATTCTTAAGAAATAGCCTTAAACATTTGAAATCTTAGTGCTTGTTTTGGTAGTTCAGCCTTGAGAAATTCAGGAAAAGAATTGCCTTTGTGTGTGAACCCATGATCACATAAGTATCTAAGTGGCACTCTGAGGAGAGTCAGGTCCCTTTTGTTAACTTGTCAAGGATCAGTTAGGTAAATATGCTGATATTCTAGCCCAGAAATTAAGTGTACTTAGAAAAATTTAGACTTGAAAGTCTAAGCTTTAAGAGACAGTGCAATTAAACAGAATTGAGTTTGAAAATTTGTCTCTTTCCCTTTCAAGCTGTGTGACCTTGGGAAGTCACTTCACCTCCCTGAGTCTTCATTTCCTTTTTTTTTTTTTTTTTTTTTTTTGTTTTAAATATGAGGTGTGGCTGAGGATTTCATGTTCATTAAAGGAAAAGAGGTTTGTCATGTATGGGACACAGTTTGTGTTCAAGTAATTGTTAGCTATTATTATTACTATTGTTAGGTTGAAACGTGCAAAATTGCTACTATTATAGCACAAAAATGGTTGAATGTTGACAGTATTATATAATTCAGCCTAATATTATCATTTAATTTTGTTCCTTCTACTTCACTTCTGAAGACACAAGATGGAGACCATAAAGGGTGACCTCTGCCTGAGTCCTTGTTTATTTTAACCATTTGAAAGTTTAATATTTATCAATCCTTTAGTTGTGATAAATGCAGATTATTCTTTCCAATCAGTAATGGGGGATTTCCTGTCTACCTATTGAAGTTTACTGTGCCAAAGCTGAAAATGAATGGCAGGAGTAATTTTCCTCTCTCCTTTCTGTCATTTGTATACAGCATTAATATCATAGGTAAGAGATGGGTGTATATACCTTTGAAACATTGAAGCAGTGGCATTAGCATGGTTAGTACATGGGTTAGGGGGCTTATGCAGTGTCCAGTGGTCCCAAGTTGTTAAGTGAGATAAACTCTGGAGGTCATTTTCAATCTTCAGATAGTAGGCTTATCAGTCAATGTCTATTAATTCCCTAATCTGAAAAGTAGAAGAGGCATCTGGCATCAGATTTTAGTTATCTTTCATCACTAAGAGATAGGCAAGTCCCACTGGGTGAGTTAATCAAAAAGTCCCTTCTGTCCAGGCATCTAGAGAGGCAGAAGCTGCAACTGACTCCATTTCTTTCTGAGAAAGGAAATTTGGAGTTGAGAAGATGCAATCTAGCCAAGTGAACATTGGTCCAGACAAATGAGTTCAGGACTCTGGTCTTGGTTTTTGATAAATTTTCAAAGGATGCCAGATTCCCTGAGGGGTGGAGAATAATACAGCAGCTACCAGTGGAATGATTCACCAAAGCCGAAAGTCACGTGGGAGCACTCACACATATCTCATTAAGATCTGATGGGAGGAATCTAGTCCTGTAATGAAGAGAGATATGCCTGACTTGGCAATAATTAATAATCAGAGTTCCTATTTTTTTTGGTAGTACTATGGATCAATCACAGGGGTGCTTTATCACTGAGCTACACTTCCAGCCCTTTTTATTTTTATTTTGAGACAGGGTCTTGCTGAGTTCTCCAGTCTGGCCTTGAACTTGTCATATTCCTGCCTCAGCCTCCTGAATGGCTGAGATTACAGGTGTGCACCACAGTGCCCAGCCACATTTCCTACATTATTCATATCAATTTAACATTATTTACCTTGAACTCTCAAATGCTTTAAAAACATTATTATTTTTTAAAAAAATGTTTCCTCCTAGTATCCATTTTCTAAATTATCTTATTATTCATATGCCTAAAAGATAAGATTCAGATATAGGTACTAAAGCATTTTTAAAAAATCTAAATTTCATTATAATAAAAATCTCTGTGTAATAAAACTCCTCAGCCCTCTAACTGAAACAATATCTAATATAATAAGAGAACGGTGATTTTTTAATGATGATTCTAATTTATGGTGTTTTTAAATTCCTGGAAATTTTTTTTTTTGTGACGCAGGAGCTTGAACCTAGGGCTTCACACCTGCTAGACAAGCACTCTACCACTGAGCTACACCCCAGTTCTAATTTATGGTATCTGATGGTACATTTTCTCCTGGTATCCTCAAAGGGCAAATACAGATTCCAAACAAGAATTATCAAGGATCATTGAGTCACTGTGATTCATTTAGGGGTAGATAGGACTTGTGTTCAGTAAATTGTGAGGTTAGTGAAATTTTCATGCAAAGCCTTCCTGTTACCTTACCGTGATGCTGGGAGTTGGTCTTCAGTTTCACAAGCCCAGAAACCTCATTTCCTCAGCACCCATTCATCTCTCAAGGTACAATTCCTTACTTTGCTTTGAAAACTAAAATGATGAAGCATTCTAGAAAGACTTCTGTCAGCATAACTGGTGTGTTCCATCCTGGTAGGCAGAGCCTATATGGGAAGCCAAATGATAAGTAGGTTTCTTGGCAAGGAATCAGGAATTTGTTGTGAAAATGTACTTTGCTAAGAATAGCTTGAGGCCCCACTGAGGGTAAGCAGAGCTTTGCTGGCTACTCGATGTCCATGTAGCAAAGTCACCCTCTCTTTCCTCCCAGCCAGAATTTTGCTCAAAGATACTTCTTTTTCCAGGCGGACCAACTTCCCTGTTCATAGTGCTGTCTTGACTGAGCCTAAGAACTATTCTGTCTCTGTAAAATGATGTTTCTCATGTCTTTGCTATGGTTTATTTCTTGTTGATTTACCAGCTACTTCTTAGCAGGTATCCTTATGTCCAGGTTTTGGAGGTGTCTGCAGTTCCTTTCTTGCTTAGCTGGCATCAAGCATGTGAAATGTTAGAATAGCTGTTTGGGGTGGTAGATTGAGCTAGTTGGAACCAATTTTCCCCTTCATGGTCATCAACACATTATAAAAGGAAATACTATCTGAAACTTGAGTCAGAAACTTGCAAAACAGGAAGCTCGCTCCTTGGAGCTCTGATTAAAAGCAGCTCCATTCTTAATCCAACTCCGTCACCTTTGGAAATGTTAATTTTCCAGAGTCATTTAATTTCATTATTCTTAATCATAATAACTGAACTTGTGACTTATGTCTTTAAGATATCTATAAGTTGACTTTTGTGGTTCCACAAATCTCATCTACTTTTTAGAGTAAGAGTGTATATACTCAGTGCACATAGTGACTCTTGAAATTTATATGCATATGGAGGATGGTCACAATAATCAAACAGTACAGAAAAGGGTTTAATGAAAACCATTTCTTTGGCTTTCAACCCCTAGAGATAACCACAATTACCAGATTCTTAAAGTGATCCTTTTTTACTGATCTTGATGGTATCTTCTTGAAATTGAATTTTGATAATCATATTGTGTTTCCTTTAAAGTGGTTTTTGGCAGCTGATGTGTTAGCATGGTAGGTTTGTGAATAAACATCATGATGTTGACACTTGTAAAATGTGGAAAATTGTCTTTAATCCACACCAGGCTTTGTCACTGGTGGCACAACTTACATTTGGTGCTGGATTGTTTGTTGTGGGATGGATGGCTGTCGTGTGTCTTGCAGGATATTTAACCTTAACCTCTATCCTCTAGATGCTAGTAGTTCCCTACCTTCCAAGTTATGAATGTCTAGATATTACTGACTTTCTCCAGGGATGGCAAGAAAACAAAACTATTCTCAATTGAGGATCACTGATCGACACCATTTGACAACTTACCATTTCAAAAACATTTGGGCATGCTCATGTTTAATTTTTTAAGCGCATTTTTGTGTATTTGCTTCATCAATGCTTTTTTTTTAACTTTCTAACCTTAGATTATTGCTCCAGAAACACATCGTTCAAAGGAAGTACCCCTAAATGAGAGGATTTGTCTGCAAGTGGGGTCCCAGTGTAGCACCAATGAAAGTGAGAAGCCCAGCATTTTGGTGGAAAAGTGCATTTCACCCCCTGAAGGTAACTGAAAAAGCACTCTCTCTGTGTTTAGAGATTAAATCCAAATTCAGGATGTTTTAAGGGAAGAATGTTAAAAAGGAAAAATAAGCATGTTGGCTTAGCTTCAGTACATACTAGCCCTAGGAAAAACTGTTAAGTAATGAGGTTGATCATTGTCCCCCACTCTCACATTACCTAATATTCTTCCAGCTCTTATGTTGCTTACTGATAAGAGCAGGGCTACGGGATACTAGCTGTCTTAGGTTTAAATCCCAGCTGTCACTTATCACAGTAAAAGTATGATCTGAGGCAGATTCCTTAGCCCCTCTACACCTCAATTTTTTCATCTGTAAAATGGGGATGATGGTGGTAGCTATCTCTTAAGATTATTGAGGGGATTATCTAAGTCAATATACATAAGGTACTTAGAATGATCCCTGGCAAGAGCAAATGCTATACATATATGTTCTTCCTTTTCTTTTTTTTATACCTGGGATTGAACCCAGGGGCACTTAACCATGAGCTACATCTCCAGCCCCTTTTATTTTTTATTTTGAGACAGTCTCTTGCTAATTTGCTTGCTGAGGCTGGCCTTGAATTTGTAATCCTCCTATCTGAGCCTCCCAAGCCTCTGGGATTACAGATATGCACCACCATGCCTGGCCAAATGTTATTTCTTAATATTATGTTGTCCTTTGGTTGGGTAGGGAAGGGCCTTATTTTCCACCTCCAAACCTTAGCACTGCATATCCTACCTGCCTTGCATTGATCAAAACCTATGAAATGCTATTTATAAAGTTATAAAATTCAGGACTGCCAAGAGATTGGAAGCATGGTTTAAGATAACTTACTTGCTCTGTTCACATTTCTTTAGGAGTTTAATAATCTGAGAAAAAGTTATATTATGACATAAAATGGTTGATGATGGCTTGGTGCAGTACTCCTTCAAGGATTATTAAGGGAAACAAGTTTATTTATTTATTTTTTGGGGGTACTGGGGATTGAACCCAGGGGTGCTTAACTACTGAGCCATATCCCCAGCCCTTTTTTGTATTTTATTTAGAGACAGGGTCTTGCTAAGTTGCTGAGGCTGGCCTTAAACCTGTGATCCTCCTGCCTTAGCATCCTGTGTTGCTGGGATTATAGGCATGCACCACCACACTCAGCTACAGATTTATACTTTAACTAAAATAACTTAATGAAGATAGAGATTTCAGTTCAGAAAGATTTTTGTGCTCCTAAAGGCATAACACAACATAAGTAACTGTTAAAGATTCTTTATCTATTCAGAACTATTTCAGGAGGAATATTCTTTACTTTTAAAAATAGTATTGATCAAAAAGCAGGAAGGTATACTATACCTCAGTAAAGTGTTTTTCAATGTAGGGTTGGGGCTAGGGATGTAACTCAGTGGTACAGCATGTGGTTAGCATGCGTAAGACCCAGGGTTCCATCCTGAGCACACAAATAATTAATAAATAATTAATAAATAAGTAAGTAAATAAATAAATAAGGACTGTTGTATTTTTATATTAATTTACGAATAGTTTTTGCGTATGATTGAAATATTATTTGGCCTTTAAACCTCTCTCTCCAGTTAGAGATAGAAGAGTTTTCTTTGTGTCAGGAGGTGAAAAACAAGGTTGCAAACCTTAGATTTGGATTTTGGCCATCTGGGTGATTTCTGGGTAAAATGGGATGAGAGATTCTGGTAAAGCAGCTTGAACATCCTCCGCCAACCACCATGCTACAGAACAATTGGCAAGCAGGGTCCTAAATTCTTACCTGGTTTTTCTAGGTGATCCTGAGTCTGCTGTAACGGAGCTCCAATGCGTTTGGCACAACCTGAGCTACATGAAGTGTTCATGGCTTCCTGGAAGGAATACAAGTCCTGACACTAACTATACTCTTTACTATTGGTGAGTATGTATATACAGTAGAGTTACTGGAGGACTGACTATGATTGCATAGGGAACCTTTTGATTCAACCTAGTTTTTTTAAAAAAAGGAACAGCCTATTATTCTCTACAAAGGCAAGGAGGAGGGCACTTTACTTCAGTGGAAAATGCATCTGCTTTGTGTGTCTTCTTTAAAAAAAATGCTTCCTAGTATGTTCACATAGCTGTATATTCATCACCTTAATCAATTTTAAAGTACTTTAATTACTTCAAAGAAACCTGATCCCATGAGTACTCAACTCCCTTTCTTCTCACCCCTCCCAACCCCTGGGAACTACTCATCTATTTTCTGTCTCTATAGATTTGTCTATTCTGGACATTTAATACAAATGGAATCATGTAATGTGGGGACTTTTGAGACTGGCTTCTTTCACTAGGCACAGTGTTTTCAAGGTTCATCTGTGTTGTAGGATGTATCAGAATATCATCACATTTTATTGCTAAATAATATGCTATTGTAGGGATATACTATGTTTTCTTTATTTGTTCATCAGTTGATGGACATTGGGTTGTTTTCTGCTGTTGGCTGTTGTGAATAATGTTGCTATAAACATTCATGCACAACTATTTATGTGAACCTATGTTTTCACTTCTTTAGGAGTACCCATGAGTAGAATTGCCGAACTGTATGCTAACTATGTTTAATTCTTTAATGAAGGCTGATTTTTCTTGACATTATTGAAAATATCAACAAGTCAAAAAAAAAAAACACCTTTCTACTTTTAACTATAGATGCATAGGGTATTGGTGTGTGTGTGTGTGTGTGTGTGTGTGTGTGTGTGTGTATCCCCACATACTTTTCACCCTATTTTTCCCATTGGAAACCTCTTGGGTAACTGTAATGCAATATCAAAACTAGAAAATTGGCATTGGTATCATCCACAACCTTATTCACAGCTCACCGGTTTTACATGTGCTTGTGTGTGCTCACATGCAATTTTATCACATTCGAAATATAGAATGGTTCTATTGCTACAAAGATGCCTTGAGTTGCCCTTTTATAGCCATACTTTCCTTCTGTACCTGCTCTTCTCTGCATTCCTCTCTCCCAGGTGTCTAGCCACTGGCATCTACTAATCTATTCTCTATCTCTATAATTTTGTCAGTTCAACAATGTCACTGGAATGGAATCCTATAGTGTATACTACTTAAAACTGGCCATTTTTTTTTACACACAAATGCCCTTAAAGCTTATGCAAGTTGTTACATATATCAAGAGTTTGTTCAACAATGTTACTGGAATGGAATATTACAATGTATACCACTTAAAACTGGCCTCTTTTTTTTTTTTACACACACAAAATAGTCTTAAACTTCATGCAAGTTGTTACATGTATCAAGAGTTTGTTCCTTTTCATTGTGGTATTCCATAATATTGATGTACACCTGATTTTTGTTTTTAATTTTTTGATACTAAGGATTGAACCCAGGGATGCTTTACCACTGAGGTAAATTCCCAGCTCATTTTAGTTTTTATTTTGAGACATTTTCACTAAGTTGCTGAGGGTCTTGCTAAGTTGCTGAGGCTGACCTCAAAATTGTGAGCCTATTACCTCAGCCTCCCGAGTTGCTAGGAAAACAGTTGTGTGCCACCATGCCTGACTGGATGCATCTGTATGTTTAACCATTCATTCATTGAAAGGCATTTCGGTTGTTTCCTGTTTGTTGCTATTACAAATAAAACTTCTATAAATATTTATGTATAGATTTTTATGTGAGCATGACTTTTTACTTCTCTTGAATAAGTACACAGGAGTGCAAATTACTGAGTCACAATTACTTGTTAATATTTTTAAAAAAATTGCTAAAGTATTACTTACCTAGGGCAGTTGGACCATATTACATTGCTGCCAGCAATCCAATTCAATTCAATAAGCCTTTATTTAGCACACATTGTAGGTAAAGCACTGAATGGGCAGCAGACAAGAAACTTGTCCCTTGGCTTCTAAAGCCTAAAATAGACAAGGGGAGATAGAGTCCAACACAGTTGTCTTTGTCACTATAAGGCAGTATATGCCATAGGCTGTTGCTGAGGCACGGAAGGATTCTTGTAGGAAGCTAGGGTGGAATGGGAACTGGTGGGAGGGGGAAGCTGAAGGCTTCAAATAGGGGACAGACTGAACAGGTGGGAGAATTTCTTACAGGTTGGCCTCTGGGGAAGAGTGTTCTGAAGAATGGAGAATTTTTTAAAAGTAGGTTTATTTACTCTTTCCAAGGCCCTGAAAATATCATGAATGCATTGACTCTTTTTTAAATCAACATATAATATTTATGCATATTTATGAAATAGAATATTATAATTTGATACATGTATACAATGGGTAATGAGCAAATCAAGGTAATTAACATTTTCATCTCCTCAAATATTATTGTTTCTGTTTTGGGACCTTCAAACTCTTCTCTACTTATTTTGAAATGTACAATTAATTATGGACTACTGTTGCCTTATTGTGCTCTAGAATATTAGAACTGCTTCCCTGTTCCCCAACTGTGTATTGGTACATTATCCAAACTCCCATTATCCCTTTTTCCTTCAGAAATGGGGATATTGAGTTAGTTTAATAGCAGATGGAGAAGGGAGAATCCAGCCTTGACACTCTATCTTGTACATGGACTTGTTCCCTCACTATTATTTGTTAAAGTGGATCTGAGAGAATGGGGTGTAAAGGGCTGTGTCCAGGAGTTCTAAAGCTACCAAATAAGCACTTTCATCCTGGAGTGTTGAGCTGAGGGTAGAGTTCAGTGACAGAGCACTTGCATGAAGTCCTGAGTTTGATCCCCAGCATCACAAAAAAGAAGAAAATAAAAAAGAAAGAAAGAAAAAGAAAAAAAATCCTGGTGTGCCTATTTTGCTTGATGACCTCACAAAAAAGTATTTTTGGTATATAAAAACACTCATGAAAAAAAAAAAAACACTCATGGCTATAGAATGCAAAAAAAAACCCCACAATTTTTTGGTTTAAATTTATTTTTAACTGATACATAAAAAATCATGCATATTTATGTATCATTCGTGTGACATTTCAATACATATATAGTGTATACAATTGAACTATATATTTCAATACATTATATAGTGTATAATGTTTAAATCATGTTAAATATTTCTACCTCCTCAAACCGCATGACTTTTAGAATGAAAACCTCTAAAGTCAAATTCACTCACATGTCATGTAGAAGGCTCCTCCTGGCAAAATTGAGCAGCATTGCAGGTGAAACCAGATGGCACTAATATTGTACATTTCTTTCTGGAGGTTTAACCCGGGGTGCTTTGCCACTGAGTCTCTTCCTGGCCCTTTTATTTTTTATTCTGAGACAAGTCTCACCAAGTTGCTGAGGCTGGCTTTGAACTTGTGATCCTTTTGCCTTAGCCTCCCAAGCTGCTGGGATTATAGGCATGTGCCACCATGCCTGGCTTGTTTCTCCTTTTCTTAAAATGCTTTGTGGCTCCTTGGTGTTTTGGAGTTAAAATACAAACTCTTGAACATGACAAAGACCTTCCATGACCTGGCCCCCATCAACTTCCCTAGCCCTGGTCTCATCTCCTTCCCTCCAGCCCTGCCCTCTTGCAGCCTGTCATTTGGTTTACACTAAGCTTCTTTCATATCCTCAGACTGACTTTTCAAGCACTCAGAAGACTGGAATTCAAACAAAATATTCATATAGAATAGTAGAAACATTCTGTTCTTTTGCCCCTCGAATTTTGCCCTTTTGCCTAATGCCTCTCATTTGTCTTCATCTCAGCTCAGACACCATCTCCTCTCCAGAAAGCTTTCCTTGACCTCTCAAGTCTAGATACATGTGCTTTCCTCACGTCCCCTGGCACCTTGTACTTTTGCATGCCAAAGCACTCAGCACATTGTGTTATTATTTCCTGTTTACTTGGTGGTAGCCTGCCCCAGGCTACAATCTCCTTTGAAAGCAGGGGCTGTGTCTTGTTTTCCCCAGTGCCTCACCATGGTAGGTATTCTACAAATCACTTGTGAATGTTTGGTAGGATCCAAAGCTAAAGAACATTCAGTGTTGGGGTGAGAACTTACGAAGTGTAAGTGACTCAGAAGCATTATAGTATGGGAATCAAAAGAGAAAAGGATGAAGTACATCTGGCTTTCTGAAGACTTGCTAGTAAAGAGGCCAAAGAACTAAGCCTAAGAATCACTGGCCTGTGAATATTCTCTCTGATACCTGAATGCTAACACACCAAAAGGGTGGGAAGAAAGGATAGAAGTTCATTGGATTGGAGAAAGGAGAATGGAGGGAAGGGAGAGGAATGGGAATAGGAAAGACAGTAGAATGATTTGGACATAACTTCCCTATGTTCATATATGAATACACGACCAGTGAAACTCCACATCAGGCACAACCACAAGAATGGGATCCTAATTAGAATAAATTATATTCCATGTATGTATAATGTGTCAAAATAAACTCTACTGTCATGTAAATCTAAAAAGAACAAATAAAGAATAGAAGCACTGGCCTGGCTCTGTTGATGTTGCGGTGAAGTCTAGGGAGAGCTGTTACCAAAGACTTTTTTAAAAAAATTATGTATTATTTATTTATTTTAGTTATCAAAGGACCTTTATTATTTATTTATTTATATGTGGTGCTGAGAATCAAACCCAGTGCCTCCCACATGCCAGGCAAGTGCTCTACCACTGAGCTACAACCCCAGCCCTACTACAGACTTTTAACAATGCCCTAGGAGTTGGTAGCATCCTGAGTTTATTATGCTATTTCATCTCTCTTGCTCTTCCTGGAGGAATTATGGATAAAACCACAGGGAAACCTTTAAAGAGTCTGTATCTATAAGGGGAAGGAAAGAAGTCTTAAAAATCATGTCTCATTCTGTGTCAGACTGTGTGGAAAAATAACATAGCTAATAGAATTGGGTGGTACTGCAGGTGGATGGCTTAATCCTAGGGTTTCTGATAAGATAAAAATTAGGAAGTGTCTTGAGAATATATTAGCACAAAGTAAGTTTCAGTTCAAATCACGCTGAGTGTCTTCTCTGAATGAATGAATTAGAAAAAACTGGACTGACCAATTTTGAAAAAGCATTCTCCTTCCTCTGTGCTTATGTGGGCTCTTGCCAAAGCTGATAGAAGATGGTGCTTGAGCTGGCTTTCAGCTCTTAGTTGATGCTTTTTTGCAGGACACAATCTATACAATGATCGAAGGTGGCTCAAGAGAGTGGTAGTTTATTGGCACTCAAGTGGAGTAGGTATCAAAGATCCTACTTTCTTGAGTTGCCCAATCTCACTAGCCAGTTTCACAGTGGTTCTTGTATTGGGCAGCACAGATATGTAACATTTCCATGATCTTGGAAAGTTCTTTAGAACATTGTTGGTAAAGATTCTATATCCTCCACCCTCAGTACCCCATAACTTATTCTTTCTAGAGTCAAACTGCTTGGATTCAAATCCTGGCTCTCTTCCTTACTAGCAAGATGATTTGGGGCAAGCCTCTTCTTTCTGAGCCTGAGTTTTATAATCAGTAAAATGGGGGGTAGTGATAATAGCACTTACTTTTTAAGGTTGTTGAGGGATGTTATTGTATGAAAAGTGTTTGGAGCCATGACTAACTGCTGGCAAGTATAGAGTAAGCACTGAATCCCTGATAGCTGTCATTATTGGTGTGTGTTATTCATCTCCAGTCCCTTGCAGGTAGAGTCATTGCACAGTGCTGGCCTCCTCCCCCCTGCCTTGGAGATTTGGCACCAATCTCCTACCTCTTATTTCCCTAGATTGATTCTTTCCCAAACAAAATCAAAAAAGCAAGGGAGTCAAGATAGTGCTCATTAGCAAGTACCCAGAAATGATTTAGCTACCCATGTAAATCACATCACATACACTGCCAAAGACTGTTTTTCCCTAATCTCCAATCAGAAAATGTGGAGTCATTTTTTAATTTAAAATAGATCTTTGAAACTCTAGGGTAATGACTTATGTCCTTACAGAGATAGTCTGGCATTCAAAGGACCTAAATAGCCTACAGACTAACCAGAACAATGAATTTTAGGGAATTTCTTACTACATTAATCATCTTTAAAGTTGGAAAATAATCTCTAATTTGTCCATCATCCCTTATGTCTGCAATGTAATTCTGCAGAGGAATTCTGTGTATTTCTACAGAAAGCACTTGCTATTTATTATCTAGTCTTTCATGAAAAGTCCAAAAGGGTTGTATATTTAAAACCAGTATTTTCTCTTTTATTATTATTTTTCTGAGTTACAACAAAATTATTTTAAAATTTCACATCTGGGGTCCTGCATATATGTGAAATACTCAAGGTACAAAAATGAAAAAGAGATCTAAAAGATTGCTTATTAGAGGAGTTCCTTTCATTATTAAAAATAATTTTGTATGTAGTTTTCTCTAGTTATGTAAGAAAAATATCTTTGGTTTCTGTTTCTAGTTGTGGGTGGAAAACATTCTAGGATGGTCTGATCCAAGAACTAGCCATGATAATAACTTAATTTTTAAAACATTGTTTTATTTCATAAACTACAGGGACCTACAACTTGGAGAAAGAGTCTTGTACTATCTCTTGAAGAATAAGAATATTCTGTATGTTGAAGCATTCTTTACACAGTCTTTGTAGGAGTAAATATGTTAGATCTGAATTTTTAAAAAGGATTTGCAACAGAACCTCCTGGAGAATTTCTGTTGGAATGCATGATTCCTAGGCCCAGGTGATCCCCTTCTAAGTCTGAGAGAGGATTTGAGGAATCAGCATTTTATTTATTTATTTTTTATTTGTTCTAATTAGTTATACATGACAGTAAAATATATCTTGACATATTGTACACAAATGGAGCACAACTTCTCTTTCCTCTGGCTGTACATGATGCAGAGTCACTCTAGTAATGTGTTCATACATGTATATAAGGTAATAATCTCTGTCTTATTCTACCATCATTCCCATCCTCACAGACCCACCCCTTCTTTCCCTCCCCTCTACACAAACCAAAGTTCCTTCATTCTAACCTACCCCCCCACTCCACTATGAATCAGCATCTGCTTATCAGAGAAAACATTCAGCTTTTTTTTGGGGGGGGGGGATTGGCTTATTTCATTTAGCATGATATTCTCTATTTCTATCCATTTACCTGCAAATGTCATAATTTTATTCTCTTTTAATGCTGAGTAATATTTTATTGTGTATATGTACCACAGTTTCTTTATCCATTCATCTGTTGAAGGGCACCTAGGTTGGTTCTATGGTTAAGCTATTGTGAATTGTGCTGCTATAAACATTGATGTGGCTTCATCACTATAGTATGCTGATTTTAAGTCCTTTGGGTATAGACCAAGGAGTGGGATAGTTGGATCAAATGGTGGTTCCATTCCAATTTTTCTGAGGAATCTCCATACTGCTTTCCATAGCGGTTGCATCAATTTGCAGTCTCACCAGCCAATGTATGAGTGTACCTTTTCCCCCACATCCTCGCCAACACTTATTATTGCTTGTATTCTTGATAATTGCCATTCTGATTGGAGTGAGATGAAATCTTAGAGTAGTTTTGATTTGCATTTCTCTAATTGCTAGAGATGTTGAACATTTTTTCATATGTTTATTGATTTTTAAAAATATTTATTTTATTTCTTAGTTTTAGGTGGACACAGTATCTTTATTTCACATGTATGTGATTCTGAGGATTGAACCCAGTGCCTCGTGCATGCTAGTCGAGCACTCTACCACTGAGCCACAATCCCAGCCCTGTTTGTTGATTGATTGTATTTTTTTCTTCTGTGAAGTGTCTGTTCAGTTCCTTATCCCATTGGGTTATTTGTTTTTTTGGTGTTAAGTTTTTTGAGTTCTTTATATATTCTGTAGATTAGTGGTCTATCTGAGGTGCATGTGGTAAAGATTTTTTTCCCATTCTGTAGGCTCTCTCATCATGTTATTGTTTCCTTTGCTGAGAAAAAGCTTTTTAGTTTGAATTCATCCCATTTATTGAAGGAATCAGCATTTTAAATTACTACATGAGCTGAGGATATAGCTCAGTAGTAGAGAGCTTGTTTAGCTTGTCTAGCATGCTGGAGGCCCAGGGTTCTATCCCCAGGACCAAAACTAACTAACTAAAAAAACTACAGATGGTTTTGAGATAGCAGACTATGAGTTTGGGACTCTTTACTCTTCATTTGTTTTTTAAAAATTGTCTTTCTTTTCTGCAGAATGTTGGCACAGCTGCTATTATGGCTAATGATAGAAAGCCTGAGTCTGTGTCTTCTGCTCATTATTAAAAAAACAGTTCCCGGGCTGGGGATGTGGCTCAAGCAGTGATGCGCTCGCCTGGCATGCGCAGGGCGCTGGGTTCAATCCTCAGCACCACATAAAATAAAAATAAAGATGTTGTGTGCACTGAAAACTAAAAAATAAATATTAAAAAATTCTCTCTCTTAAAAAAAAAACAAACAATTCCTACAGTAAAACATGTAAGGAGTGCATTTTGTCTACCTGCACTATGCTAGGTGCTAATGATCATTGAGGAAGTCATGCATAGAGGTGAAGTGGGAAATAAGATATCAGCAGCATAATTTATTGAAGGCACTTGAAGCCTCCTTGTGGAGTAGGGCACTTAAAAAGCCATTGTGTTCTGGAATGTTGTTCTGGCAGCAATGGAAGGACACTAATAATGAAGGTCATGGAGGTCAATCTGGAGAAGTTCATGAAATCTGAGGCAGTGAGGTCATGAATCAGGGTGTAGGCAATGAGAGTATCACAGAAGACAAGAATCCAAGATGCTTTGCAAGCAAAATTTGGTGATAGAATATAGGGAAATGAGAAAAAAAAGATGATTTCAAAGTATATAAAGAGCCTAGAGAGAATGAGCTTGGAGTGATGGAAATGGGAAGATAGGAAAAGGCAGTTTGGTGGGGAAGAGAGTACATGCTGTGTTGAACACTCACTGTGAAGTAAGAGTAGAACACTCAGATGGGGCAGTTAGAATCTGGGACTACCTCTGTGGTGAGAGGTCAGGAATAGGAATCTATATAATAGAAATTCTAGTGGAAGGATGGGAGTGACAAAGTGAGGTTGAGTGGATGAGGGAGTCAGAAATAGAGAAGAAGGAGCAGGCAGAGGGGACCCCAGAGGAACCATGGGTTTCAGCATATCAGCTTTTTAAAATTTTTTTAAAATATTTATTTTCTAGTTGTAGATAGACACAATACATTTATTTATTTATTTATTTATTTATTTATTTATTATGTGGTGCCAAAGATCCAACCCAGGGCCTTGCACATGCCAGGCAATCACTCCACTGCAGAGCCACAACCCCAGCCTCAGCATATCAGCTTTTTAAGAAGTATAAAACTACTTCTCTTCCTGGCTTCAGAATATCTTCATTCATACAGAAGATGACTCCTACAGCTTTCATAGCTATTGACTATACTAATGTCTATCAAAGAATAGCATTTTTTCTTAGGGCATGAAATGAGCCATATTATAAAATAGAGTTTAAAAAAAACTATCTTGCCTTATTGCAAATATTGCTTTTCATGGACTTCTCCTTCAATGTTTAAAAATTCTACTCTTGTTTCTTGAATACTTTGTTCAAAATAATACAGAAGGTTTTCTCTTATTTTGTAGGCACAGCAGCCTGGGGAAAATTCTTCAATGTGAAAACATCTATAGAGAAGGTCAACACATTGGTTGTTCCTTTGATCTGACTAAAGTGAAGGATTCCAGTTCTGAACAACACAGTGTTCAAATAATGGTCAAAGATAATGCAGGAAAAATTAGGCCATCCTTCAATATAGTGCCTTTAGCTTCCCGTGGTAAGTTTTAGAAATCCACTATGACTATGGGTATATCTTTTGAACAATCAACTCAAATAATAAAAATAATGATAATTTTGGTCTTAAGATCTTCTTGAAACAAGAGACTACATTTATGTAGACCTTTCTTTGATAGATTCTTTTTGATGAAGCAAGTTTGGAAATTCTATTAATCAAGAGCTCATGTGCCAAATGCATTATTCTTGTTTACTTAGGCGTACACTGAAACTTAGAGCAATTGGTTGTAGAACCAATATTGGAACCCACGTTGTCTGAATCTAGGATCTTTTCTCTTCACTTATGAAACTTGAGAAGATGGTGCTCATATGATCATATAATTTCGGAATTATCTTTCTTGTTTAGAAAAAGCTTAGATTGAGGGTGGTAATATTAAGATTAATATTTAATTTTTTTTGATGCTGGGGGTTAAACCCAGGACTTCAGCATGCTAGGCAAATGTTCTACCACTGAACTATATTCCCAGTCCAAGACTGGTCTTGAAGTTGCAAAAATATTTGACACTTTGTGTGGCACAGGCACTGATTAATCAGAACAACCAGGATAGCTGTGCCTGGGTGTACCAGTTGAGTGTTTGCCTATTAGAAAGACTTGAAAACAAAATATCTCGTTGAATTCCTAACTCCTGTACCTTGGATAGACATATACACCCTTTATAAGTATTTTCTTATCTATGACATGGTGTATGTAGTCCCTTTTGACCACAAAGAATTGTCATAAGGTTCTGATGATATAAGGTATATAAAATGTGTTTTGTGAATCTCTACAGCAAAATAGCATCCACATACTGATTAATTTGTTTCTGACACCCTAGCAGGGAGCTCTAAGTTGGCTAAATGGTATATGGATGATTCATAGGTAAGGAGCCATCATTTGACAAAGGGTCCCAAGCCTGTGAGCAGAGCACTACTTCCCACTCCTTCAGGTAGTCATGAGAGTAATTATAGCAGGGGACAAGGCAACCTAGGCTGCAGGCTATGGGAGTGAGGCTGGAGTAGTTTGACAAATAGAGTAGGCTAAAGTAAAGCCCTCCTTTTTCTTTCCCCTCATTTGGTGGATTACATCCTAAATGGACTTTTTAAGGCTTATTTTACTGTTGTTCTTCCTGGAATTAATGGTGACATAAAGAAAATACTTTTCAGCCAGAAGATGACATCTACAAGTTGTTTTCTGTTAATTATCCATTATCTTCTGTGACTTGGTATTAATGAATTCCTGACTTCTGCCAAAGTAAATTGACCTGGTTAATGCTTTATTTTTTAAAATTTTTGCTACCAGTGATTGAACCTAGGAGCAATTAACCATTGAGCCACATCCTCAGCCTATTTTTATATTTTATATTTTACTTAGAGACAGGGTCTTGTTCTTTTTCTTTGGATACTTATCTTTCATTTGAATGTCTTAACATTGAAATATCAATGAAATATAGGCCTTACATTTGTCACTAGATGATAATGCTTAGGGTCTGGCTAAGTTACTGAGGCTGGCTTTGACTCATGATCCTCCTGTATCAGACTCCTGAGCTGCTGGGATTACAGGCATGCTCCATGGTGCCCAGCCCTGACTAATGCTTTAAAAAAAAAAAAAAAACTTTATTTTTTATTGAAAACAGATAACATTAAATTTACTATCATAATCATTTTAAGTGTTTAGTTCAGTAGTGTTAAGTATATTCACATTGTTGTGCAACAGCTTTCTAGAACTTTTTCATCCTGCAAAACTGAAACTATGTCTATTAAACATTGATTTCCTTCCCCCAAGCCCTGAGCAACCACTTTTCTTCTATTCTGTGAATTGACTACTTTAGATACCTCATGAATGGAATTATACAGTATATATCTTTTGTGTTTAATTTATTTCACTTAGCATAATGTCCTCAAGATTCATCCATATTTTGGTTTGTGATGGAGATTAGGCTAATATTTTAACTGTGGTCCTTAATTGCATGAGCGAGTGACAGCTAGGGAAGACCCTTGTACCTGGAACTTTGTTGCCTATGAGGTAGAAGCCTATTTGGATCTAAGCATTTTTCTTTATTCTATATGTTGTAACCATAAATTTTCCCTAATTATAACCTGACCATTTTCAAACCAGATGTATGTCGGAATTTGTGATATCTACCAGGCACCCCCCCCAAATTTTCCTTAATTCTATTTTACTAGGCAGTTTTAAATAAACTTCCTCCATTAATTGTGGCTAATCATAAATTGTGAAACTACAGATTTGATCATATAAAGTCATTAAAAGCATCACCCCTATTTTGATTTAACTTTGTGAACCTTCATTATCCAGATGTGTCCATAAATATATGTATATAATCAAATCAACTTTGGAAGCTAATTTACTTTCTTTTCACTTTCAGTGAAACCTGATCCTCCACATATTAAAAATCTCTCCTTCCAAAATGGTGCCTTATATGTGCAGTGGAAGAATCCACAGAATTTTTTTAGCTCATGCTTATCTTATGAAGTAGAAGTCAATAACAGCCAAACCGAGACACATGATATTTTCTACGTAAGTTTTTTTTTTTTTTTTAGATGATTCTTTTTCTTTGGATACGTGGCTTTCATTTGAATGTCTTAATGTTGAAATATCAATGAAATGTAGGTCTTACATTTGTTACTAGATGATGATGAGGAGGATGAGAATAGTGAAATTTCTTGTCTGAAATAGGGCATTGTGGAAAGTTGGAGGGTTTATGGTAGTATTGGCTGACAGTTTCAAGCTATTCATTGATTTATTTGTTTGACAAATTTATATTAAGTGTTTACCATGTGCCAGGCACTTTTATGTACTAGTGATAAGGCAACAAAACTGAAAAACAGGTTTTTTTTTCTTCATGAACGTTACATTTTAGAAAATAAGTATGTAAATGAGCAAGCTAATTTCAGACCATGAGCGCTACGAAGAAAATGATAAAGTGGGGTGATATAATGTAGTGACTGGTTATATCTGAGGGTATATTAAATAGGGAAATTATCCAAAATAATGACCTTGGAAGTGAAACCAGAATGCTGAGCAGGAACTAGCTATATGAAGATCTAGGGTTAGAGAGGGTACCAAATACAAATCAGAAGCAAGAATGAGCTCAATGTGTGAGAAAACAAAAAGGAGACTGGTGTGGCCAAAATATAGTAGGAAAAGATGTCAGAGCAGTAGGTAGAAATTAGGTGGCCTGCATATTTGGAAGCTCTGATAAGGCCATTCCATTTCTTGGAGTTTGTGCAGAGAAAGTAGTCAGATTTGAGTAGTCAATATTTGTTGGATTATATATAGTTGTGTTGTTCAGAATCAAATGCAGTACATACTAATTCAAGATTTCTTTGGAACCTTGACCAGAATGTAGTATAACCTCAGGGCATTAGCCCCACTATTATATTTATGTAGAGTTCACAAAATAGGTTCTTATACATTTGTGTTTGAACCACAAACAAAGTGGGGGCTGGTTTGTTTCTTTGTTTATTAAATTGTAACTTTTGGCCCAGATTTAAAATCATGCTACCCTATGGATGTATTTCCATAAGGTGGCACTCAAGACCACAGGGACTAACTATTACCACTCATTTGTTTGCTACCTGCCTAGGCCCTTTGTGCATTTGGGTTTTAGAAATTAGATGCAAAATGTTTCATACTGGTTTTTAAAGGAGCCCAGTATATTTCACATGGGTAAATTCCTTGGTGCAATTGTTTTAGCTCATCATGGATCTTTCAAAATGCTTGCTAAAATAAGCCAGTGTTGACAGGCTGTAACTCCACAGGGAGTGACCAGGTCTGCAGCAGAACAGAATTCTGGGCATTTGCAAATGAAATCTGCCTGCTGAAATATAATCATTATTACTACCAGAACCCATGATGATCTCATGAAATACCACAAAAGGCAAAAGCAGAGGGCTTGCACGTGGGGAGGAGTGTGATACACAGATTTATAGCAAAGCGATTTATCAGAAGGATGAAATATTCTTGATTACTCCAACCTTTTACTGTGTGAAATCCTGAGACACATGCTACTTGTATTAACTCATTTTGTCCCCAATTAATTCCTGATATTTAAAACCTGATCACATGTATTCCTTTTCACTGAAAATATCAACTACTGTAGGAAGAAGTCAGATGGTGTCTGCTTTGTGCTGTTCTCGCTTCTAATAGTAGCTAACATGTACTGAACCGATCACTGTGTACTAGGTATATTAGTAAGTACTGTATCTGAATCATCTAGTTTAGAGCTCACAATAACTCTAAGGATCTAGGTCCCATTATTTAGTCTTTATTTTATAAGTGAGAAAACTTAATTATTCCTAAGATCATTTTTTTCTAGTAAATGGTAGAATCAAGATTTAAGCAAAGATGTAACTCCCAAGCTTGTATTCTTAACCACTGGAAACCATGTCAGTACTTCTTGTAATAGTAATAGATATCACTTATTAGGTATTAATAATGTGCCACGAAGAAAAAATCTCCTGTGTGCTTTTTTTTTTTTTTTTTCCTTTTGGCAGTACTGGGGATTGAATTCAGGGCCTCATGCATGCTAGGCAAGTGCTCTACCACTGAGCCACATCCCCAACCCTCTATGTGCTTTTTCTATAGTAGTTTATAACAATCCATTAAATAGGTACTGTTGTAATCTATGTAGTTTTGAGAAAGTAAGGCTCAGAGAGGCTTGGTAACTTGCTGCCGTCCACACAGCTAATAAGTCAGTAATTACTCAAAGGTTGGTTGGTCTCCATGTATTAAACTTTGACCAAGAATACTTAGTGTACCACCATGCGCATAATCATTATTTAATGAAATCTTACTGAGTTAAATTACTTTTTTTAACACTAACTTCCAAATTAAAGAAAACACATACACTATGGAAGCTATCTACCTAAGTTAGAACTATAGTCTCTTTAGAATTAGTTCTGTTTATATACTTGAGCTTGATAGTCTCTCTCCTAGCAGATGTTCACCAGCTGCTTCCTCTCTAGAATGTCATCAGTTCTTTGTGTGCTTACTGATTTTGAGCTTCGCGGTTAGATTTTTTTTCTTTTTATAAGACTCTAAGGGATTATTATTATTATTATTATTATTATTTTGCCTGGTGTTACATTAAGAGGGGAAGTGAGCTGGAACATGAACTGGTACCATCACAAGAATATTCTGTAGTTAGAGGTAGCTCATGACACAATCATGAAATAAAGAACAACTTTTTTTTTAAACCACCCCCTCCCTGCATCCCTGCAAACCATCTACTTGGTACTCTGTGCCCTCGATTTTCTCCTCTGAGAGGTATCTAATTAGCTGATAAACAATGCAAGGGAGTTTACATTTGGATAAGAGCTAAAGACTCTTATGCCCAGAATGATTTGCTGACTTTAGAATTTACATATTTGTGAGATGGTTAGGGGCAGAGGGACATCAGTCTACAACCTGATCCCTCAAGTGGACACTTGTGATTCCCCAGCAGGCCTGTGGTTTTAAATGGCCAGTAATGGGACACAGTAGCCCCTGAGCTTTTCCTTTACTCACTTGTATGAAATTTTGAAAAGATTGTCCTTCATCATTCCATTGGACTTTCAGCTCTTCATACATGTTGACATGAAGCACTTAGTGAATGACACTGAATGGCTCAAATTAATGACTATGTGTTCTGGTCTTTGTTCCATGTTTAAAAATCTCTTTGAGGGCTGTGGCTGTAGCTCAGTGTTTTGTAAAGCGCCCACTTCACAAGGGTGAGGCACTGAGTTCAATCCTCAGCACCACATAAAAATAAAAATATTTTGTCCATCTACAACTAAAAAAGAATTAGGAAAAAAATCTCATGTCTTAAAAAAAAATAAAAAAATAAAAATCTCTTTGATAGAAGTTGGCTAAACTAAGCAACAGAATTTCATGCATTGGGGCTGGGGATGTGGCTCAAGCGGTAGCGTGCTCGCCTGGCATGCGGGCCGCCCGGGTTCGATCCTCAGCACCACATACAAACAAAGATGTTGTGTCCGCCGAAAACTAAAAAAAAAAAATAAATAAAAAATAAATAAATAAATAAATAAAAAAGAATTTCATGCATTGAGTTTTCAGTCCACTTTTAAAAAACTTACATTGAATGAACTATTTTCTTTATATCAGCTAGTAAGTGACTTACTTATGTGGAAGAGAATTGTACATCAAACTTTCTTTTCTTCTACCTAGTTTTTTTTTTTTTGTATCTTATATTCTCAACAAGGGAAACTAATGTCTCTCAAAGTTTTTTATTTGGCTGAGGGTATAGCTCAGTGGTAGAACACTTGCCTAGCATGTGCAAGGCCCTGAGTTCCATCCCCAGCACCCAACAAACACAAAAAAACCCAACTTTTAAATTGATGTATAATACACTATAGAAAAATTACACAAACTATAACATACAGCTCAATGATTTTTCATAAATGATTTTCACAAAATGATTTTTCACCCATGTAATCAGCCCCACAAAACCTCCTCATGACCCCTCTCATTGCTACTCTCCCAAAGAGCAACTACTATCCTGACTGCTAATTCCATAGATTTGATTTATTGCTACTTTAAATACTTTCTATAAATGGAATCATACCGAATGTACTTTTTTGTGTGTCTGACTTCTTTCACTCAGCATTCATTATGTTTATTAGCTTCTCCAGCATTGTTTCCCATAATTGTGAATGAGTCATTCCCATTCCGCGCATTCCATTTTATGAATATACCACTTTTATTTATCTGTTCTCTCATTGATTTGGATAGTTTCCCATGAGCATTTGCCTACTTGTCTCTTGGTGCACATGTGCATACATTTCTGTTGTGTATAGGCATATATGGGTCCTAAGGTTACATCTGATTGTCTGTAGTAGATAATAATAGTTTTCCCAAATCATTGTGCCAATTTACTTTATTAAGCAGAAATTGAGAATCCTAGATGCTTAGGTAACTTCTACTTGGTATAATGTAGTAGGTGCGTGTTTTGTTAACCATGGATTCAGTTTGCATTTCCCTGATCACCAATTCAGTTGAGCAGTTTTTCATGTTTATTGGTAGTTTGCATATCCTCTTGTGCAGTGCTTGTTCAAGTCTTTTGCCAGTTTTTCTATTGAGTTGCATTTTTTTTCTTACTAATTTGTTGAGAAAAAACTTTATGCAAGTCCTTTGGAAACTGCAAGTATGTTTTCCCCTTCTATGCATTGCCTGTTTATTTCCCAAATAGGGTATCATTTGATAAATGAAAGTTTTTAATTTTAATATAGGTCACTTTATAAAAATTTCATACTTATGATTAATGTGGGGGTTTTGGTGATGTTAAGAAATCTTTCACTTTTTCAAGGTTATGAAAATATTCTATTGCTCATCTAAAAGCTTATTATATTTATGTGTTCACTTATTTTACTTTGCATATTAGATCCGCAATTTATTTGTTGTTTAGCTTTTTTTGCAGGGTATATGGGCATTAAACCAAGGGTACTTTACCAATGAGCTACATCCCCAGCCCTTTTTTTTCATTTTTTATTGGTGTTTTATAGTTGTATGAATTGATTTTATTTTAAGAAAGGGTCTTGCTAAGTTGCTCCTCTGTAAGTTACTGAGGCTGGCCTTGAACTTGCGATCTCAGTCTTCTGAGACATTGGGATTACAGGCACATGCCACTGTGGCTAGAAAATATTTGTAATATTTTCTGAAAAATATTTGCAATTAATCTTGCAAATAGTGTGAGGTAGGGATCAAGATTCTTTGTTTCCTACATAGATATGTAATTGGCCCAACACTACATTTTTAAAAGGCCAAACTTTTTTCAGTGTATCTGATCCTCTTTTAATGGAAGATAAGAGAAGCTTGTAAGAAATGACTAAAAGATATAAAGTGTGTTATTAAACATTGGAAATTCACTTTTTTATTTTTCAAGGTTGAAGAGGACAAATGTCAGAATTTAGAATTTCAGAGAAACATGGAGGTCAGTAGATTCAACTTGAGTTATTTGGGCTTAGACTCCCATATTATCGGGGGTGGGGCAGGCCTAGCACAACAGAACTTTGAACTGATTTGGGAAAAACAAACTACTTTGTTCTGTGGGTTATTGCCAGTTTTTTTTTTTCAGGACACAAATCAGATAATTTGAGTTGCAATCCAAGTCTTAATCATATACAGAATTTGGCAGATAATTATATTATGATTCAATAGCAGAGGCAGAATAAACTGGTAAATTTATTAAAAAATAAATTTTTTGTGTATTTTTATTTTATATTTAAGGATACAATTTGTTTCATGGTTCCTGGTGTTCTTCCTGATACTTTTTACACAGTCAGAATAAGAGTCAAAACAAATAAGTTATGCTATGAAGATGATAAACTTTGGAGTAATTGGAGTCAAGCAATGAGTATAGGTAAGAGAACAGAATTTAATTATAATTTAAAACATTGATGTGTGGGAACTAAGGTGAAGCAGGAAGAATATTGGGGAAAGGGAATATCATGCTTTAATTTTGGGGGATATTAGGGATTGAATTCAGAGGTGCTTAATTACGGAGCCCCATTCCCAGCCCTTTTCATTTTTATTTTGAGACAGGGTCTTGCTAAGTTTCTGAGGCTAACTTTGAACTCACAATCCTCCTGCCTCAGCCTCCCAAGCCACTGGGATTACAGGCATGTGCCACCACACCCGGTTGTCATGTTTTCTTGATGTAAGCCAAAGTGTACTTAAAAATGAAATTTATCTTCTCTGTAATTACTGTCAAATCACCCAGGGTTAATTGACAATAAAAACCTCTTTGTAAAACCACAACCCAAGTGGTGTTGTCCTTATCTCTGTCCCATTTCCAGTTTTTATTAATAATCTGAACAAAGGCATAGAAGGCAGAGATGATCAAATCTTCAGGATTTACCATGTTAGAGGACTGTGCTATATACTGGTTGACAGAATTAGGAAAGGTGACATGACCTAATGGAATTTAATAGAAATAAACTTATATCTAAACTTGAAAAAATCATTTATTAGTGGAGATTCTGAGTAAGCCAGGCTCAAATATACGATTGGAAAGACCTAGGCTTTATGTCTGTATGTTGTAGAGTGTTATACAGGGTTTTATTTGACAGTAAGCTCAAAGGAACTCAACAATGGAACCTTAAATAGTCCTAACACGCATGTGTGGTCTTGGGCAGCAGTATCAGTGAAGTCCCCAGAACACGGGAATGCTGCAGGGTGGGACATGGTGGTCCACTACTTCAGGAGTGTGCAGTATCCTATTTGAAGCCATACATTGTAGGAGATCCTTTGTCAGACTGGACACTCTGGGTAATCAGGATGTTGAAGGACCTTGAAACTCAATGAAAAACAACTGATAAAGTAGCCTCGAGAAATCATAATTGCTGAATTCTAATATTTGAGGTATCATCATCAGAAGAAATAGGCTTTCCTTTTTGCAGCTCTATGGGGCAATATAGAACCAATTTAAGAACTTTGAAACAGCTAAGAGTCAGAGAGATGGGTTGCTGTGGAAGAAGTCAGTTCCCTATTTATTGAGATACTGAACAAGCTGTGTGCCAGGCATGATACGACCCCTAAAGGTTAGTGGCTCAAAACAACACACATTTACCATCTTATAGTTTCTGTGGTTCAGAAATCTAGGCATGGGTTAGCTAGAAGCCTCATGAAGTGGCAGTCAGACTGTAATAAGGACTACAGTCTTACTCGTGTGATTGTTGGAAAGTCTTAGTAACTAGCTGGTTGCTGGATAGAAACTGTGGCATGGTGAATCATTTACACCCCCCGCAAAAAAAGGTATGTTTAATTCTCAGCCCCTGTACCTATGAACATGACCTTATTTGGAAATTGGGTTTTGGCAGATATAATCAACTTAAGATGAGATCATACTGGATCAGAGTGGGCCCTAAATCTAATGACTAGTTATAAGAAGATGACAGGGGACTGGGGCTGGGGCTCAGTGATAGAGTGCTTGTCTAGCATGTGTGAAGCACTGGGTTTGATCCTTAGCACCATATAAAAATAAACAAATAAAATAAAGGCATTTTGAACATCTAAAACTACAAATTTTTTTTTAAAAAAGAAGAGAGGGCATTTAGAGATATAGATAGACAAACAGGGACAAAGGTCATTGAAGAAGGAGGCGGCAAGTGGAGTGATGGAACATCAAGGAATTCCAGGAGCCACATTTAAGAGTCAAGGAGTGATTCTTCTTAGGGCCTTCAGAGGGAGAATGCCTTTGCCAATACCTTGATTTTGAACTTCTAGCCTCCAAAACTATGAGAGAATGAATTTCTGTTGTTTTAAGCCCCCTAGTTTGTAGTAATTTGTTGCAACAACTTTAATAGACTGATTCAGAAGCTTCCCTTAGTTCCTTGCTACTTGGACCACCCCTCAGGATTACCTTTTGATATGGAAGCTGGCTTCCCCAAATGAGTGAGCCAAGCAAGAATGGACATATGAGAGGACACCCAGTGTGGAAACCATGGTCTTTTATCATCTAATATTGGAAGTGACATCCCATTACCACTGCTCTTCTGTTTAGAAGCAAGTCAAGTAGTGCAGCTCATGCTCAAGGGCAGGGGATTACACAAGAGTGTAATTAGCAACAGGCAGGAATTATGTGGAGCCCAGTCCTCTAAAGGCTGCCTAAAGTGATTCTGCTAGGCCCTAATGATGCTTTCTAGATGTCTATGCCCTTGTGGGAAAAAAATGAACATATAAATAGGCAAATGGAATTCCACGTGTTAGTTGTAGCAAGACAGGCTTTGGAATTGTAGTGTTAGATTTGAGACCTGGTGCCATCATTTACTAAACCCTTCTGATGAGTTACTAAACTTCTCTGAACCTTATTCTTCTTGACTATATAAATTAGAGATAATACTATATAGTGGAGATAGGAGATTAAGCATGTCAAAGCACCTTATGTGGTACCAGATGTATAGTAGGTTGCTCATTTAAGAAGAGTAGTAGTAGTTGTTAGGACTGTTTTAAGTTTTCTAGTACTGCAAGTAAGCAGTAAGAAAAGATATCACCGGTAATGAAATGATACGTTTAATAGATATGACATCTTTGTTAATAGTGTCTGGAACTAGTTAAGATATCCTGATTGCAGATAATCTTTAGGGTGTTTACTTCTCCAGGAAATTTCTGGCACCAGAACCAGACATTTTTGTAACTTTTTTGTTTCGGGTGCCAGAGAGTGACCTTAGGGGTGCTTAACCACTGAGACACATCCCCAGCCCTTTTTATATTTTACTTAGAGATAGGGTCTCATTAAGTTCCTTAGGGCCTCAGCTAAGTTGCTGAGGCTGGTTTTGAATTTGAAATCCTCCTGCCTCAGCCTCCTGAGCCGCTGGGATTACAGGCATGCACCACTGTGCCTGCCTTTTGTAACTATTAAGGTAACAGAAGACAAGATAAGTCAACAGTTTGGGACAATAGGTTGGGGTAGGGGACAGAAATATCTGTGGTCTCACAAACTAATAGAATTGTTGTCTTATCTCTTACTAAAAGGATTTTCATTCTCACATCTTTGTTTGCTTTCTTATCTCTAGGTAAGCAGCCCAATTCCACATTCTATATAACAATGTTACTCCTCATTCCAGTAATCGTTGCAGGCGCCATCATAATACTTCTGCTTTACCTGAAAAGGTGAGATACCTGCCCAGGCAGGGTTTTTTTGTTGTTGTTTGTTTATTTATTTTTATGTGGTGCTGAGGATTGAACCCATTGCCTCACACATGCTAGGCAAGAGCTCTGCCACTGAGCCACAACCCTAGGCCCACCAGGCAGGTTTTAGTTTCTGCTATTCCGGTTGCTATGGTTACTACTGTTTGTGCTGGTGTTTTATATTTGTCCACATATTAGAAGAATTTGGCCTATAGGCATTTTTTGGTGATATGACATTGCAAATAAATACGATTGTGCCCGTTTTCTGATAAGGAAAGCATTGGCTTAGTTTCTTTGGGCCTGTTCAAGCACTGATCCTTTTGCATGTGTTTAGCATCATTGAATGGGTCTTCTAGTAATTTTTCTTCCAAATGCCTAATGTATCAATAGTTAGTTGTTAGCTTTTGGAATGGAATTTTAAAGAAGAGGCTAGGGATATAGCTCAGTGGTAGAGCATGTGTTTAGCAAGTGTGAGACCTTAGATTCATTCCCAGTGCCAAAAAAGAAAAAAAAAAAAAAAAAAAAAACGAAGTGAAGACCATTGCTACAGAAATGACTTGAATAGTTTTAATATGAAGCAGGCTGTTGCTAATGCTATAGGAATGAGACTTCACCAGGTTGTCACTCATATCTGCCATTCACTTCTTCAGAATATTTCATTTTCTTGGGCTGGGGATATAGATTAGTGTTAGAGCACTTGTATAGTGTCCATGAGGCCATGGTTCAATTGCCAGTGCTGAAAAAAATACCCAAGAATGTTTTATTTTCTCTATCTCACTATATGGACTGTTATTTGCTCTTGCAATAAATACTTAAGATTGGAATACGGCTGTTAAGGTGGGTCCAGAACCAGTTTTTTTTTTTTTTTCTTTGCAATATCAGGGATTGAAGCTAGGGGTGCTCTACCACTGAGTTACATCCCCACCTCAGCGGTTTTTGGGGGGGAGGAGATCAAGGATTGCACTCAGGGACACTCCACTACTGAGCCACATCCCCATCCCTATTTTGTATTTTATTTAGAGACAGGGTCTCACTGAGTTACTCAGCACCTTGCTTTTGCTGAAGCTGGCTTTGAACTCATGATCCTCCTGACTCAGCCTCCCAAGCAGCTGGGATTACAGGCATGTGCCACCATGCCTGGCCCACCCCAGCCCTTTTTATTGTTTATTTTGAGACATGGTTTTGCTAAATTGCTGAGGCTGGCCTTGAACTTGCAATCCTCTGCCTTAGCTTTCTGAGTTGCTAGGATTATATCCATGTACCACTGTACCCAGCTCAGAACCAATATTTCAATATGCATATTATTGTTATTGAATGCCTACTTATTTGCCAGGCACTATACTAAATGTTGGGATTATAGCAGGGAACAGCACGAAGTCTGTTTTTACGTTCTAGTTGGGGACACACACACACTGTTAGCAGGATTTTGTTTTCAAAAGTATAAAAATCAAGCTCCCATATGATCTATTCAAAGTACAGTACCATATTATTTAAATGATAGAATATAAGTAAATTGCTTATTCTATCAGTCCATGTGCTTCACCCAAACTTGATGGCTCTTAGGACATTGATTTCCCATAACCTTTTTTTTAAAATATTTTTTTTAGTTGTAGGTGGACATACCTTTATTTTTAATTCATATGTGGTGCTGAGGATCAAACCCAGTGCCTCACACACACTAGGCGGGTGCTCTGCTGCTGAGCCACAACCCCAGTCCCTCCCATAACCTTTTTAAGGGATTTTTTCACAATTGTTTCTTCAAAAAATGAATTGTGTACTATGACTTTTACCCACACTTTCTTTTAATATGTCTGTATTTAAGTGGAATGCTCCTATACAATGGAAGATTTGATCCGAAATGTTTCTGTTTTCTTAAAGGCTAAAGATCATTATATTCCCTCCAATTCCTGATCCTGGAAAGATTTTTAAAGAAATGTTTGGAGACCAGAATGATGATACCCTGGTAAGCACTGAATCCATGGGGGTTTGAAAATTTTTTTGAGGCTAGCTGTGAGATTTTTTAATAATTGTGGTAAAACAGGCATAACATCAAAGTTACCATTTCAATAATTTTAACCATACAGTTCAGAGTCATTAAGTACATTTACAAGGTTATGCAACAATCACCACTGTTTATACCCCAAACTTGTTCATCTCCCAAACAGAAACTGTGTTCATTAAATAATAACTTCCCATTTCCCCATCTCCCTACCTCTAGTAACCACTAGTCTACTTTCTGTCTCTGGGAATTTTCCTTTTCTAGGTACCTAATATATGTGTATCATACAATATTGGCCTTTTTGTGTCTGACTCACCTCACTTAGCATCATATTTTCAAAGTTTTCATGTGTCAGAATTTCATTTTGAAATTGGTCATTTTAAATTACAGTTTATCTAAAAGATTAAAGAAGAACAGATTGCATATATTGGGTTTAAGGTCAAGCATACCAACTAAAAAGGCCTCAGACCACTTTGCCCATCACTGGGCTTCATATTCTTTCTGAGATAGGGGATATATTTTATTGACACATGTTCAAGGAGGAGGCTGCATTATGAAGCTGGCCTAATAGGCTGCCTGAATCTTGGGTAATTTTTAAAATTTGGTGCAGGGAAATATAAAGATGGAGTAATCAATGGAAATGCACTTTGTTCATGCTATTGCATGGAAAACTGAACTGCAAACACAGGGAAATAGAAGAGACCCACCCCAACTGCTAGGAGATTTCTAGCAGTTGATTTCTAGGAGACTCTCATGATAGAATTTGTGGCTAGAAACCTAAGACATCATGGGGACAAAAGATGTTGAGGTTCTGTGATAAATACATTCACTCTAATGAAATAATAGAGACACTAAATGAAATAAATATCATCACTGTATATATCTTAAATTAGTAATAAGAGGCATAGGGCAATTAATTTTTAGAAGTAGCATATCATACTAGATAATAGCCTGGGCTCTGGAGTCAAATTGTCTGGATTCAAATTTCTGCTATGTCATTTACTGTCTTTTTGACCTTAGGTAACTTCCTTAGCCTCTCTGTGACTTGGTCTTCCCATTTGTCAAGTTGGAAGTAACAACAGCACCTGCCTTACAGTGCTGTTATGTGGATTCAATTAACTTAATACAAATAGTTAATTCTATAGCAACTGGTTAGCATGTCTGGAACATTGTAAGTGCTTAATAAGTGTTAGTGATGAGTTTTACTATTGGTAATAATTTCCAATTATCTTTAATACCCAAATAATTCACAAGGGCAATTTGAATGACATTTGACTAGGGAAGGAAGACAAGCCATTACAGGCAAGCCATCAGATGAGGATCTCTCTGGATCACTTTTTCACCAAGTCAACTTCACAAATGGTGGGTGACTGCCAGACCCTGGAGGATAGGGTGCCAATAAGCAATCAGGTCCAAAAATCTGATACCTGATTAGGAGATTGATTGTAAACCATAAGTGGGGTTGTCTATGGCAACCACTGGTTCTTTAACTTTAGTTGAGTTAAAGTCAACTGGAATACTTGTAAGAAATATGGATTCCTGGGTCCTGCCTCCAGAAATTCTGAATTGGCAGGTTAAGGGTGAGTCTCAGGAATATGCATATTAAACAGGAGCTTACAGATGATTCTGCTCCTGATAAGATGGTCTGTAAACCACACTTCAAAAATCACAGTTATAGGGCTAGAATTGTAACTTGGCGGTAGAGTGCTTGCCTAGCATGTGTGAGGCACTGAGTTCGATTCTCAGTACCATATATAAATAAATAAAATAGGACTGGGGATATAGTTCAGTTGGTAGAGTGCTTATCTCGCATGCACAAGGCCCTGAGTTCAATCCCCAGCACCACAAAAAATAAATAAATAAGATATAAATAAATATAAAATAAATAAATAAAGTACAGGTCCATTGACTACTAAAAAAATTGTTTTTAAAAAATTAGTTATAGATATTTTCCTTAGAATTACCACTCTCTCTTTTTTCATTTCAATAGCTACTGTGATAGATACTAGAAGTTGGAAATTGTGCAAGTACTGTAAGAACTGTAAGCAGTTATTGAAAGTCTGCTATGTGCCAGAGAGTATAATATATGCTTTGCTTATATTATTTTATTGAATCCTCAACCAACCTATAGAGTATGTGTTTTTAGTATCATTTTACAGATAAGGAAGTAGAACATCCATGAGGTTAAATAACTTAGTTGTGATTACACAACTAGTTGGCGGTAAGGTAAGATTTGACCCAAAACTGTCTGATTCTACAGTTCTCTTGATTTTTCTACTAATGTGCTATTGCCTCTTGTCAGGTATAACAAGGTCCTCAAGGACCTTATGGTCTCCTAATATAATATATCTAAGACATTCCAACCAAAGCATTGATGAGACATATATTTTCAGCTTAATATCTAGTTTTTAATAAGTAGTGGGAAAGTGGCAGTTTTCATGTGTTACTGGTGGTCCTATAAAAGAAGGTATCCAGGTTGAATATCCCTTATCACTAATGCTTGGGACCAGAAGTATTTCCAGATTTCAGATTTTGGAATATTTTCTTAGACTTCATTGGTCAAGCACCCCCAATCCAAAAATATGAAATACAAAATGCTCCAAAATTTAAAACTTAGTAAGTATCATGTTAGCACTCAAAAATTTTCAGATTTCAGAGCATTTTAGATTTTAAATTTGAATTTGAATTAGAGATACTCACCCTATATATATCCATATATATCTTTTCTGGAGGACAACTTGGCAAACTATAACAAAAATCTTTGGTCCTATAATTATATTTTTAGGAATAGATTTTTTTTGTGGTGCTGGGGATTGAACCTGGGTCCTCATGCATGCCATGCAAATGCTCTACCAACTGAACAGCATCCCCATCCCTAGGAATAGATTTTAAGGGAAAAAAAAATCAATCAATGGCATAAGGATGATCAATGTATCATTTGATTTCTTTTTTTCCTCCTCTTTTTTTTCTGCATTGGGGATTGAACCCAAGGCCTCACACATGCTACACAAGTGCTTTACCACTGAGCCCTTTTTACCCCAGCCTTTTTTAGTTTATTTTGAGCAGGGTCTTACTAATTGCTGAGGCTAGCCTCAAATTTATGATCCTTCTGCCAGAGGCCGAAGTTGGGATTATAAGTATGTGTCTCCAAGCCTGGGGCATCATTTTTCATCTAACATGAAAAATTAGAAACCAATGAGAAATAAAAAATCTAGAATTAGTTTTAAAATTTAGTTTTTCTATGCATTTAATGTCTCAAAAATACAAGAGTAAGAAAGATTAGAAACCTGAGTATATTACAATCCTAATTTTTATTAGACAAGTATTAATATATATGTAGAACAAACAATGAGTGGAAGGAAATGGGTCAGAATGAATGATCATCTCCAGGCAGAGGGATTGTGGGTAACTAATAATATTCTGTCTACCTTTATGAAATTTCCAAATTGCCTATAATGAGCATGTATTAGTTTTATAATAAAAGAACCCCTGTATAAGTCATTAATAAAGAGAAAGAATATTGTAGTCATCCAGTCTGAGAGATAATAGGGACTTGAACTTAGATGGTAACAGAGGAGATTGATGTAAGAGACATTATTAAAGCAAACTCATTGTGGCTTGGTGACTCTGTGTGGATGATAAAAGGTGTGGAGAGTAAAAAATAATTTCAAGTTTTCAAGTCTGGGCAATAGAGTGAACGATGGTAACATTGACAGCAAAATCAGATCAATTATCTTTCTCAGAGATGGGAAAATTGCTTTTTTTCAATTTTCTGTCTAGAGGATAATATGTTGTTTTTGTCCCGATGAGTCAGATAATTCTGTAATTTAGTGAAGCAGATATACCAACAAGATGGACCACTAAAAGCATGAGATGTTTTTGTTCATGGTGGTTGCAGACCATTAAACAAAATCAGTTCTTTAAAACTAAAAGTATAATAAAAATGCCAGACATGGGAAAGGGCAAAGGAACAGATTTTTCTGTCTGCTTTTAACCAAATGAATAATCTGCTTTCTTCACATGGAAGCAATTCTCTCAAATTGATCTGCACATAGAGCACAAGGACTAACCTTTTATTTCTATAATCAAGTTACAGAATGAACAAGACCCTAGAGATCATCTAATGAAATAGATGTTTACATGTTTTGTTATTTCCCTTTAATTGCAGTTTTCAAAACTCTAGATTCTCATTCAACTTCCTCACTTTAGGACTTTTGGGGCCATAGAGAAGTTTCTCAAGAACTATCATATAGAGATGCAATTGTAGAACTTGGATTATTACCAGGTAGCCTAAAGTTACCAACTCCTAATCCAAAGAAATAATCCATATCCTTTAAAAACATTCTTTAATTCTATACCACACCATGAATAATGCTTCTTTTTTGGGGCGGGTAGGTACCAGGGATTTAACCCAGGGGTGCTTAACCACTGAGCCATATCCCCAGCTCTTTTTATTTTTCAGTCAGAGTCTCACTAAGTTGCTTAGAGCTTCACTTAGTTGTTGAGGCTGGCTTTGAACTTGTGATCCTCCTGCTTCAGCCTCCAGAGGTGCTGGGATTACAGGCATGTGTCACTGAGCATGGCTCAATAATACTTCTTTAAAGAAATTTATTTGGATGTGGCTACAAATTAAATCAGCACTATAGTTTTTCTTAAGATTTCTAGTGTTTTGATGATGTTTTTGTTCATCACTGTAGTAACGTTTTGGCCAACAGCATTTCTTCCTCTTGCTTTGCTATTTGCCTTTTCCTTATGACTAATTGGGCTGCTAGCCATATTGGGGGTGGGAGAGGGGGACTGCAGAGGGAATTGCTTCTCCTCTGTATCTTCATTTCTTTCATCTATAAAAAATATCTGTTCTTCCCCTACTTCTTGGAAACCAATTAAAATTTCAATACTGTGCCAATTTTACATTCCTGATCTGAAAACAGCTTTTTAACTCCCAAATATTTTTTTCCTCTAAT